CCATTTTTGAGAAAATAAAGAAAATGTCCTAGAACTATTGTGCAAAGTACCTAGACAAAATAAAAATCCGTTTTAAATTCGAAGGTACATCAGCCAAATTGCTGAGGGTATATTAGTTGCTACGGTTGCTTACAGTTGCTCACAGATGGACCTTCAGAAAAAACATTATTTCGGTAGCAAGGACACTCAAAGCAATTCCACCAAACTACATGTTACAGGAAGAAATTTATTAGATATAGAATCAAGAAAATTTTCTTGCTATAAGACACCCTGAAAAGTGCATAACATTATAATTCTGTGAAATACGAAGAAGATGCAAGAAAATAAAAGCATGTTCATTTAGGAATTCCAGAAATTGTTGTCCTGTCGCCGTAAATTCCACAAATTTTGAGGTGAATATATCAAAAGAAATCCATATGCGTCACAAGTATTGATTATTTGTTTCTTCAAACTTTTGCTGTGCAATAATATTGTTTCCTGAACCCTTTTCTCACGAGACTTGAAATTTAATGTATTATTGCGATAAACCAAAAGATGTCAAGATATGATTTAATGGCTTGCGCGTATACGAGGTTGCTTGGATAGAAACAATTAACGAAGTCCTTGGCACCAATGGGAGATGATCTTATGAGCAGCTAATAGCAATAATCAAGATGAGGTAAAAAACGATGAAGAAATGGTGGAAGGAGAGGCAGGGAAATCGAAGAACTCCGAGAAAATCTCCTGAGAGCTCGCTTTGTTCACCACAATTTCTACATGATTTGCCCAAGAATCGAATCCGGATCTCAGCGATGATTTTTTCACTGTAATCTTAAATTAGCCTTCAAACTTTCCTTCTGAACAGATCAGACGATATCTATCATCTCAGCAGTCCCGTGTAATAATTTCTAAGCAATGAGATACTACTTGGTTAGTAGTGTATAGTCTTTCACATAAAACTTCATTTAGTTTTGGCAAATTTTGATCACTTTCTTTTAATTGTATAGGAATATTTACAGATAAAATGCAATGTATATATTAATTATTATAGTATATTAAATCAAACAATATTCTACCGAACAGTATTTATGAACAAATTTGAAAATCTGACTAGGAAAAAAGTGAGAAAAATGCTGTCATCTCGTATACAATTTTAAGGAATCCACTATACAAAAATATTTACTTCATATTTTCGCTTAACTGATAATTTACACTTGTGAGAATTTAATAAATGATGTTTTGATTTCTCTTAAAATTCAAAACTGTGTATTTCTTCTACTTGTATTCAAAATGTAGAATAATTTGTATCTATTTACTGTAATAAATTTAATATAAAGTAACACTGCACCACAGACAAATAATCAAGTGTGACATGAATAATATGACAAACAATTTTTTTAATTGAAAAAAGTTAATAAACGGCAACTGTTAATGATATTATTGCAGGAAAATATTTTCAGTCGATTACACGGAAAGCCATTCGGTTATGTCTAAGCTCCAGCTTCGCATCTCAGTGATTTATCATCTCAGCAACCTAGCACTACAACGAGATGGCGTTTAAAATATTGTTAATGTTCCGATAGTTTTGACAACTCAGAAACCAGAAAACTACTCATATTTTGAAAAATGTACACTGTACGTTTTAAAGATTTAATATTTAAGAATGAATTGCAAAAGAAATAATACTTTGCTACGATATTGAAGACTTAAAACAGATTGGAGAAAATAATGATTTAATTCATCTAGAAATAAATCCGTAGCTTCATTATTGAAGATCCTGAACAGATTCAAAAAAATTGAACTATTGACGTTTTGGAAATTTTAGAGGTATGAGTGAAAATAACTTTATGCCATACTATTTAGTATATCAATTCCTATTTGAGCAAATAATATTATTAATAATAATAATAATATTAATAATAATATAAAGAAAAATTTAGGGAAATTCTTGAAAAAAGTTTATTTACGATTTTGTTTCTACAATTTTATAATTCAACTCAAAAATATGCAAAACTATTTTCATTTTCAATAAATTGAACGTACCAATATTTAAAAATCAACATTTAATCAACAGATTAATGAGAACGTAAACCAAATTGAGTTGAAGCTTTTAAAACTAGCTTTGAGAAACTCGCGCACATGCATTGGGCAATTTTTAACTCTTTCGGAAGTGAGAAGAAAAATTTATATTTTAGTACGAACATTTTTATATTCCTTCAGGAACTCGGCATGCAGTTATTTTTCAAGAGAGTACCTGAAATTTCCGTCAAAATCCGTTTCATTCACTAAAACACCAATTAAAAATCGTACAAATGATATTTTGGGTCAAGCACGTCACTTCTTGGTTTGAATTACGCTTCGTTTAGCATCTTGCTCTAATTTCCAATTGCACAATTTTAGACGTTGGTCTTAACCTATTTCAATAAATAAACTATAGACATAATTTTTGGATGTACTGTACATATTCCTTCACACATCTGAAGCATTTAAAAGTTCTCAACGATTTAAATAGTTTCTCTGACATAATCATTATTGCCATAAGGAACTTCTCTCACATACGTCGTATACAGATTTGACTGTCCTTTGACCAAATAAATCAAACCAAAAACAAATACGTCGGTAGTATTTTCGCGAGTTTAGAAAACAATGTTACAAAACGAAGAACTTTTCTACAAACAAGATCGTACTAGGGCTCTTTTTTTTTTTTTTTTTTTGCGAAACAGGGCTTTCCCCGGATGATCTGTATATTAGTGTGCCTTTTCCGGACCAGTACTTCTCCGGATGTATGTTCAACAAAAATTGAAAGCATTCGTTTGGAATTAAAATTAGACTTTTGGAAAATAGGTTTACGCAGACTTCTCCAGCATCTTTTGTTCTATTAGACTGTACAACCTTCATATACTAATTTTTAATTTGTTTTACATTGAGGAACGCAATGTATCCAATATATAACCACTTTCAATAATAAACTATTTTCTATTAAGAAATAATTGTGTAGTACAGACATAAGAAACCATACGAGACTTAAATAAAGTCTGTTTTATAGTTAACTTCTCCCGCAAATGCGGAATGTTTGATACTTTTTGATGTTTAATTCTCACAGAAGTAATTATATTAAAATAAAAATATTTAAATGAAATTAAATAAAATTTGTTCAAATGTTAACCATTATTTTGTACATTAGATTATATTTCGTTTCTAATGAATTTTTTGAAAATATATTTCCACTACCACGATTTTCCATTTCTTACATAAATGATAAGTGAAGTTAACTTTCACAAAAATGTTCTATTAACAGTCCGTCCCCCATGCAACAGTCGTGGTCATCAGTCTAAAAATACATTAATTTTGTCATAAAAAATCATAAAAGACAACGCAATAACAGTTGTATTATGAACTGTACTGCAAAGTATGTGCTGTCAATCACTTAAAACGAAATTTGAAAGCTTTTTTTCACTAGAAAAACATAGTATGCAAATAACTTTGGAATAAAATTTTGGTTTACTCGAGTTCAAAGAAAATATGACTTCGAAGAGAGATTGCAACATTTACATCAAGGATAATATAAACTATTGTGAAATAAAGCTGTCACTATAAAACCTAATCTCGATCTCCATATTCCGTTGCTGGGTACATTGGCATTGTCTTGTGGTATAAAATCTACTTACAACTACTTGTTCATTTACTAAATAAACGAGTAACTTTCTATTGCTTTCCTGCTGAGTGTTTATATTAAATTGTTTCTTCTTTGACGTAAAAGTGGAGAATACCAGATTCAGTAATTCGTTCTATAATATTAGCGTTATCAAGATAGAATCATGTAAGAACACTGTTCGTTCCGTTGAAATTCTAAAGCTCATAGCTTAAATGACCGACGTTATATTAAATAATGCTGCAAATATTTACTACTAACAATGCAGGAGTAGAGACATTACAATACTACGTGATGATATTTCAGGTTAAAAATGATGAATTTCAGATATAGTAAAAATTAAGAATACAAATATATTAGCGCAAACGGGGTTTTGTTTTCTCTATTCGCTGAATTGAATGTGGCAAATTTTCGAATGAATGTGTCGCATGACTTCACCAACTTACTTCCAGTTAAGTTCTCAACTTTAATCTTTTTAAGACTGTCATTATCTTACAGTAATGCAACCTCGAAATCAAAGCAGAGAAATATTTCTCCGCAAAGCTAGTCCATTTGTAAGTAATACTCTAGTTTGTACCGACATACAGAATTAAGAGGAATCTTACCTTGATCAATTGTACTCTCAGTTTTCTTCAGAAGATTAGGCAGTATACTCAAATAAAAATAAGGGAGATGAGAAAGCAAAAACAGGAATTCGTTGGTAAAAGTTTTATTTAACAAAAGAAAAAATCAAAAGAAAATGTTTTTAACAAAAAATTGTTGGAATACTCTCTATTGTATCTAGTGTTTGCAACTATGAAATAGTGCGCCAAAGTTACTGTAATATATTAAATTTTGAAATGTAGTGGTTCGCTCACTAAGAGAGAACAAACACGAGACGCGATGAAACACACCCAGGGTTGTACCAACTTCTTCTGCCTCTTCTGTTTATTACCGTCTTTCGATAGTTCTGATGCAGAGAATTACAAACTCGAAATCACGGCAAGCCTGAATGTAAGTTACTCTTGCATTAAATGACCCATGTTTCTTTCCAATGCACTTTGAAGATTTTTCATAATATACTACTCTGGATACTATTTTCTCGAGACGGAGATAACAGTGATAATTATACTTAAATAATGTAGACATATTGGTAAATTAACGAAGAATATTTTAGTAAATCTCTTCTCGGAAGAAACTTGTGAAATTAATTTATTCTGTTGGTGCATTCATTATACCATCACTGCTGGAAAGAATACTTCTGAGCTTAATTCGTATAGCAGAGTTGAATGTAGAAATGATAAATTAAACAAAGATAATATTAGTCAAACAATGTATGAAAATGATTTTCAATGCATCTCATAAAATGCGAGTATTTCGCAATTATCTCCACTTGCGCTCCCGCTTCTGCCTGCTCCTCACAGAACGTGGTATTAAGTATTATGACACGATAGAAAAAATCTTTAAGGAATTAAGGTAGAACGAATAAATGAAATCAGTTTATTCGGGGAAACTGATCACATTCATTTTGTTTTGTATCCCGGCTTTGCCGTCACCTCTACTTCAACCCTACTATTCCATCACCATCACACACCTGATGGCCCACCACCTAAAATCACTAATCACAAGCCTGTAGAAGCCCAACGACGATGGGAGGGAAGTAATCATTTACCGCATTGGGATGTCTCTTGTTTCACGACTCGCACGTCAGCTGCCATTGATGTCCTGTAGACAAAAGAAAGAAGAGTTATTTACGAGTGTTATATTAATAAAAGAATTTTTCTGAAGAGTGAGAAATAATTTCTTATGGCTATAGTAAAACAAATTAATGAACTGTCAGAATACGAGTATATCATAAATAGCCCCAAATATTTAAAGTTACATAAAATACATTGTGAGAAAAGCACATAGTGAATGTAATAATGATTGTCAATCAAAATTGTTAAAATCGTCCAATACATCAGTAATAACCAGTATATAAGAAAATGTACATCAATAAATTAATGCTTAAGTAATATACGAAGCAGTACTTCAAAAGCGAAGTCGATATTTGAATTATCTCCAGAACAACTAGAAACAAACGTCTGCATAATGGCACATACAATCCCTGTCATCAGAATAGTAAATTTTTCTCTCGCGCGCCCCTAAATTCGGGAGGCTATTTCTCTCCCTCCTCCCCGCACACACCTCCGCTCTGTCAGGGCCTATTCCAGAGCCGGCAACCTATTCCTAACCGGTGTCGGCGGCTCGCGGGCCTCCACCATTCAGAGGCGGAGACCCGGCGCGTCGCTGG